TTGGGCAGCATACAAATGTTTTAAATAAATAAATTAGAAAAATACACAGTGTACATGCATTTTGATCTATAAAGATCAAGTGATACTGTACAGATAATTGAACAAGAACTATAAATCTGAAATTACATTCCTCATTTCTTACAGATAAACTTTGTGATGAAAAGCTCTTCCATATTTACTGATGTGAATGGACTTCTCAACTATCTACCTGTTTTGTGGATTTAATGCAAGGCCAACATGCCCTTTTAACAACCTAAAAAACTAGTGTTTTAATAATGGAAGAACAAAAGGCTACATTAGACAATATAATTAACTGAGGATATAATGCTCTGAATGCATAATCTACAACTAGAGAAATATATGGATATTTGGTCTCATTTGTTGAAGTGTATGTATAATTATGCCTAAGAAGTCACATATCTTGTCATGTATGAAATATATATACCAAACATTGCATATGTATCTATTGTAATGGATATATTCTTATTTAAGGAAACTATAATAATTTCATTTTTATGGTTAAGAAAATCACATAAATGGTTTTCTGTTTTTATTTTGATTTGTAAACATTCACCATTGAAAATTAATTTTAAGAACGAAACCAGAGTTGGGGATTCAGATGTAAAAAGGATTAGGAAGGCCTGTTTGCTTGGGCAGCCTGTAGCCATTGAATATGTGGCTGAATCTGTTGAGTCTCTTTAGCTCTGCAGCAACTCATCAGGCTTTTGTTAATTAAAATGGTTTTTCATTGTTCCTCTGCAATTGGGTTACTCTGGGACAACTGGACAAAAATAAAAGTGCAGACATGCTTGTAGATATAGCTCGTCACTCTATTCCTGTTTAAAAGAGAGCTTGATTCCACACGGAGTAAGTAGTTTTAAATTGTGGACATCAAATTACCAACTTTCCACAATAATTCTGGAAGCTTTTGCATGCATTTCTTGTGCCCTCCCCGCCCCTGAAAGGCAGTGAACCAGTGATGGCCCATGCAATGTACTGCTTGGACCTTTCGAAAGGGCTGTCACTGTCACTTCAGAGATCACTAAAAGTAATTTATGAAAAAAAGAGGGAAAGGGAGAAAAAGCTTGCAGGGCATACAAAAGAAGAGAACATAAGGCAGGGTCTGAATGCAGGCCTGTAGAAGGACTATGGGTGAAGGAGATGCGGGACAACCTATGGTGAGCCTGATTGTTTCTTGGGTGCACTGTGGGTTGTGCCATGAACCCACACTGTGGAGGGGTTTGCAAGGTGGATTACTGTGTCATGCAAACTTACCCATTATTTGTCTAATGAGAAGGATAGCACATATAATAAAATAAATGGATCCCATAAATACACAAAATTACACATTGAAGTCCTTCAATTCAGACTATATTTAAATCTTCAATATTTGGTTATCACCACAGAATAAGTTCTTTAACCAGTAAAGCTTAACTACTAAAACAGACTCAAGGAAGGAAAATAGAGGTTAAGAGCAGGTAATGCAACTTCAGTGCTGGAACACATTACCTCATGTAAAGTCTTTGCTTCCTGAAGATTTTGTATGCTTATTTTAAATCCGTAAGAGTTGTTTAAAGATGGTCCTAAAATCTGAGAAGTCTCTTTTTTGGGGGTAGTTAGAGCAGTGAATTGATTCTGTCAACAGAAAGAATGCAACAATAAATACTTTTCACCAAGTATTAACTATTTCATAACTACCTAATGGATGAAGTGGCTTCATTAGTCATATTACTCATATCTATTTAATTATTAATAAGAATAAAATATGTTTTCTCCTTGTAGCAATTTCCAAGAAGACAAGCCTGCATATCAAGTTGCTGCTTTTATAAAAAATATCTCTTTCATACACACAGGTCCATTTAGTGAACATATATTTAAATTTTTAAATATATCTATCTGAACCAGATCCTCTATGGATGTTTAATGGTTGTTTTTAAATTGCTGTATAATTAATTTTTCAATGTGCATTTTATATTTTTATGCTGTCTGTCTGTCTGTGGTAAAGTAGATGATAAATAACATACTGCCAATACATAGCCACAAGTGTCAGAGCTGCTTCCTTTTAGTACCCTCCTTCCCACAATTAAGGGAAAACAAATGTCTTTCCCCTATGCTGACTTTCCCAAAGTTAGCTCTGTTGGAACCAATGTGATGTGCTTATGAGTAAGACCACTAAGGAGAATGTAATTTATTTTTGAAAAGGCACTGCAAACTTTATTTTTTCAAAGGATAGAAGATAAAAGCAGCATTGTATTTGCTCTCCAGTTCCAGAGGAAGAGAAGAGGGAGAGAGGGAAGGGCAGGCAGGTGGGGAGAGGGGAGTTGGAAAAACAACTCCTTGGAGTTGCTGTTTTGCCAAACCTCTGACAGGATACCTCCTCTTCTCACCAACATTAGCCCACTGATCACAGAATCATAGAATGACAGAGTTGAGAAGGGCCATCACGTCCAAGCCCTTGCTCAGTGCAGGGATGTCGGTTCTTTTGGCTCCAGAACAGTACCACAACATTTATAAGTGTAATGTGACATGACAATGAATTAGGCATTGCAATGCCTGTAAAAATGCTTAGTGTAGTGCACATCAGAGTACAGTGATGATCTTCAGCACACTGGAGAGTACAAGCTGCTACTGAATTTGAAATATCCAAAGATATTTATTTTCATTCCATTTATCTAAAAAATCTGTTCTGGTTTTCAGAGTAAATGAAGTCACAGCAGTTTACAGAAGAGAATATAACCTCAACAAGACAGAATATCACAGTCAGTAGATATAAAAGCCATCAGAAGGTACACTATATTGTTAAAAGCCCTGAAGAAGAGGATGGACTTTTTTAATGTCATAAACAAAGTGTTCAAGCCAGGTGAATCTATCTCGGGGCAGAGTTTTAGAATTTCAATATCGCCACCAACATACACAATTGACAGGCAGGATCACAAGTGAGAAGGTGCCCTGTTTTATCCCTTAGGCGCCCTGGCTCTTGTCACTTAGGGCTTTAGAACAGCCCAACTGGCACTTTGAAGTGAAAAGCAAACTGAGAATCACATTATTTTATAACACTGAACTGTACATTCAGAATGGCCAACCCACTTAAGGGTTCCATTGCATTCTGCTCCAGTTTAAGTTTCCAGTTACCTTTCAGAAAAATATTTTACTATAATTTCAATAAAGAAAAAAATATAATTACACAGAAATAAAATAATTGGAATACAGAATCATTTACTTCAGTACTAGAAAAAAATTAAGACAGATGCTGATAAAAAGGAGTATTTATTTTCATTCAATTTTTACCTTAACTTGAGTTGTTAAAAGTACTTTTCGAAGTGCATCAGCATTGCGCGCTCTTCTAAGAGTTAGTTTCTGGTTTTTTGGATCTTCTGTGGTTGAAGAATAACAGAAGGAGTAAAAGAGGAGAGAGAGGGGGAGATGATTATGGGTGTGTATACCAAGGTTCAATCCTTAGCATTTCCAGGTGGAGTTAGGAACAACTCCTCTGAAGTGCCAATGAGCTGCTACCAGTCAGTATAGACAATACTGAATTAGACAATAATGGGTCTGCTTGTGTAAGACAGTTTCTTATGTACTTCATTAGAGCCAGTGTGGTGTAGTGGTTAGGAGTATGGTACTGGGACTCAGGCAATCTGGGTTCTAGTACCCACTTAGTCATGGAGCTCACTGGGTGACTTTGGGCCAGTCAGACTCTCAGACCAACCTACTTTATAGGGTTGTTGTTGTGGGGATAAGATTGGGATGAGGAAGCAAGTTTTGCAAGACACCTGAGCTCCTTGGAAGGGGAAAAAAGCAGGACGTTAATAAATAGTTAAATGAAGTACGATTAAAAATGTAAAGCTCAATACAGCAGCACAGAATGGTCTGGCACTGCAAAATGTTGTATTGCAGGTCAAAGTTAAAATCAGTTACTATCTTTGGAAGAATGGAAACTGTTTTTCATTATTTTGGTCATGCTAATTGCACATATATTAGTTTGGTAATACTAAATGAATATATATTCACAGTTATAATTTATATTAGGAAAGATTAAATTGATTGGCTAATTGTACTTTCATATATGGTTTCAGACAGACATTTCCAACGATACAGGTATATCTATGGCTTTGTTTTCATTTTAAATCTCATCATGCTTTTCTCTGAATAAGCTTACCTGGTAATAATGGAGTAAGTCCAAGTGCTTCTGGTATTCGTCCTTTAGACATTTTCTCTCCAATAGGTGTACTATGCAGGCAGGCAGTTTCAGAGTTGTCATCGTGTTCTTTGCTCGCCAATGGAGAGACACTGCAGGATATTCTGTTGTCCTTTTTGACAAGGTTCTGTTCTCTCTCAGTTAGTGTTTCATTTTCTTCCACAGAGGTTGATATACCCGCTGAGTCAGATGGTTTGCAATCTGGGGATATTACTTGTTGCCAAGGAGGAAGAAGCGATGAATCAGGAGAACTGTAATTGACATAATCTTCATCCTGGTCCATTTCTATTGGTGCAGTGACAAGTGGCACTGACCCTCTTTTGATAGTCTTATCCAGTTCACATTCATTTGTACCACAGCTTTCCAAAATTTGTGGGGGAATAGGACTTGATGAAAAACAAAGATCTTCTGATTGTATAACAGAGTTGTTTGATAAGCTGGAATTCTCAGCTGCCTTGACCATTTGATAACTCACATTTTTATGCAAGGACACAACATTCAGACTCTCATCAGCCTTTTCTATCTCAATTGATTTAATGATACTTCTTTTCTTAAAGTGTTCATAATCTTCTTTGGTCTGAAGCCATGACTGCACTTGTTGGCAGCTTGGTGCACATTTGCAAGGCATGATCACGATCTTTTTGTCATTGTTACTTTTACGACCATTTCTTTGTTTTTTGTCAGTAGTGAATTGGCTATTGCGAAGGGGAGACCCTGGTCTAGGGCTTTGTGCCATTGCTAAAAATGCAGTCTTCCATAGCCGTAGCCCTTCCAATGAGAAATCTCCCTCAAATTCAAGTAGATCATTTGGAAGCCTAGTTTCTACTGTAAGTAATCGTCCTCCAATCTCTCTGTGAAGAGAATGTTTTCAATTATTTTCCTTTAAACTTAAAAGAAATACTGGGGTTTTTTTCCTAGTAGTTTTACTAGATATTATTTTTCCTTAATGTACAACCGAAATAGAATATATTATGTAATGCTGACTTCAACAGAACACTGGCACATGCAGAAATGTATTTTAATGAATGGATAACCCTCAGATAAAAGTCTTTTTCCCAGTTAATAACAGCAGAAACTTAAGAACTCTTATCTTTGTTGATGTCTAAGTTTACAACACCAGCATTTCTAACATTCAGAAATTGTTTAAAGTTTTAATTTTATTTCAAAATATTAGCTAAAAATACTAAGTTAAGCTTTTCATACTGCTATGAAACAGAGAACCTGAAAAAATGACATGGAACATTTTCTTTAACAGATCAAAATTATTTTAACTCATGGCATTCTGGCACTGAATTATCGGACGAGGAGATAATTGTGTATCAATGCTACATCTAATAGGAAATTTGAAAATTTGTAGAATAGCACATAGATACAAAATAGAAAAAATACACTAAATTACCTGTACTGTCACATTACCTTGGTTTTTCTGGTGCATCAGAAGGATTGCTACAAAATGGCTCCTGATAAATTGTTTCTGCAAGATTATGGTCCAGTAAAGTAGACATGATTTCTTCACGACTTGGAGGTGACATAAGAGGTTTAAGGATATGAGCAGCACGAGGTGTAGAACTTCCATTTTTTGACTGTGAAGGGGAACTTGTAGATCTGGGAGAACTTGTAGATGTTGGTGAACTATCTGGGGTTGGTGTTAATCTCTCATTGTTTCTTGACATATACAACTCCAAATCCTCAGAAGTGGCATCCATAAGTTCACCATCCGGTGAAGACAAAATAGAAGAAAAAGATATACTAATAGAGTCAAGTGATTGACTGGGTTCAGAAGTGGCTTCCTTTCTAAAGTGATTTTGATTCCAATCACTATTTGGTGTAGAAAGATTTAGAAAAATTCCTTTCTTCACTGCATTTCTATCCAACTGAAATTGCTCCTTCTGGCAGATTTCCACTGGCTGAACATCCTCTGGTGAATTAGGTTGAGATGCTGATGGAAGAATGTTAGTTTTCCATTGACTGTGGAGATGGCTCTCACTGTTATCCAGACACCTTTTATCAAAAAGTTGAGGACTTCGTGGACCTGATCTTAACCATGTTGTGGTGTCTGACGAATAATGGTTTTCATCCTTAGATATTTTGCTGTTGTGACTTAACATTTCCATTTCTGCAGCTTGACCTGGAAAAAGGTCCTGAGCAGCATCACTCAGAAACTTCTGTGGCAGATTTTGATCAGCTGGGACAAATTGACTTGCAGAATACAAACTACAAAATCCAGTCTGTCCTATGGTATTGATATCAAAATTGTAATTATGATCAGGTGACAGGCTATCTTCAAGTGAGTAACAGCTTTCAAAACCTGGGTCTGAATAAAAAGCTGGACTATCTACAGTTGTAATATGACCTGTTTTACTATTTAGCTGCTTTGTAGTATCTTTTAACAGCTTAACTTTTTTTTCTTTTGTTTTTTTATCCTTAGGAGCACGAGGTTTTCTTGGAGATGCAACTGAACGAGATTTTTTAACTGATTTGCTTTGATCAAGAGGGTATGTAATACCACTGCTCAAATTAGTTTTAACTGATAATTGTTCATGCATGTTGTTCACTTGTACTTTCTGTTGTCTCTTTTGGAGTAATTCCTTCAAAACAGCTAAGCCAGAATGTCCCTCGTTGAATGTTGAAGGGGTTACCAGAGTCTTGCTTTTACACTGGGAATCAATTTTGGTTTGAGAAATTGCTTCTGTCAGACTCCTTTGTTTTATATTTTTTTCAGAGTTGAAATGTGACATATCTAGAATAAATCCTCCCTGCTTCTGTTCCCATCCTAGCTTTTTAACTGGACTTCTCAAAGAAGCTACAAAGCATTTTTTTGGTAACTGAAATGATCCATGGCTTTCCTCAGAAGTTTTAAAAAAAGAAATATGATCAGCATGTTTTGTTGCTTCTGATAGATAAACTATCTGCTGCTGATTATCTTTACAATGCAAAAAGTTGCCAGGATGAATCTGATCAGTCTTTGTTGTGTCAGAAGTATTATAGTTTTCATTTATATTTGCAACAGAGGATAGAAGTCTGCTTTGTGAATTTATAATCTCTTCTGTCTTTTTAGGCATTAAGTCCTTGGAGCTGAATGCATTCAGTGCTACCTGAGATATAGGGTTAGATTGCTCAAACAGATTATTTTGAATTAAGGATGGTTCTTTTTTTCTAAATACACCACTTTGATTGTTCGATCTTTGGAAACTTAGCTTGTTTTTCTCCCTTCCAGACACTGCAGGAGTTATGGTTGGATGAATGTCCTCTTGTGACAGAGTGGAACCTTGGTGCCCTACAGGCTTTTCATTTTCCAACAGTGAATGGAAATAAATCAATGGGTTTACTTGTGTGTTAGAAGTCAATTGAAGTTGTGTTGATGGTAGATGCCCTGCTGAACAGATAGCTGGTGTGATCTCTTTCTGTGTATGAAATACTTGTGAATTTCCCAAGCTCTGAACATTCTCAGGTAAATCACGGTGCTTCAACACAAGTTTAACTTCTGCAGAAGGAATACTATTTTTTTCATCTGTAACTATTACCATTTTTGACACCTTTTCTGTTTTTTGTTTCTTCTTTGCTCTAGGCTTTTTCTTTGCCTCACTTCCTTGTTTATTAGTCAGATTACTCTTTTTCTTTTTATTAGTTCTTATGTTAGTGCTTGCAAATTGCTTTTTACATTTCTTAACCTGAGTTTTTGATTGACTTTGTTTTCCCAGATGGGGATTAATAGCCTTAGGGCTGTATGTGTTGGCATTTTTAAACACTAAAGTTTCTTTTTCTAGATTAGTTGTAATTTCTTCTGCATCTGGATCAGTGGGAGACCAGCAGCGAGGTGGGGATACGTGAACTGGACTCGCACTTCTTTCTAATAGAAAACCTAATTTAGACATAACGTCACTATAACTCAAGTCGCAGTCTTCAGCTTCAGCACTGTATGAAGGTAGAGGGGGAGGAAGAAAAGCATGCATTCTCTTTCTGAAATACAGAGTTCTTTTAATATTTTTGCTATTTATATTTTGTAGTTTTCCAATCTTTTTCTTGGTAGATTTGCATTTTGCTTTCCTTTTGTAACTTTTCTTTGGTGTTAATGGATAAATAGGATATTTGGTAGCAGGTGAATCAGGAACTTTTGGCCAAAAGTCCTTTAAAGGTGCAAGTTTTCTATACAGATTCATTTTTTCTTCTGTAAGTATAACTTGTTCTTCACTAGAATCTATTTTTCCTAGTTTAACAAGCATATTTTTCCTCCCTCTAAACCTATTAATAATAATATATTTTATAATAACAGGTGGCAACTTTTTTGAAAGTTTTCTTCGTTTTCGACATTTTTTTGATCCATCCAAATTTTCATCATTTTCCACAGAATGAGGTAGAATGCTTTTTGAGTTGTGCATGCCAAAACTAGATTCACTGTCTTCAGTTTCATAACTTATCTTACGTTTAGCTCTGAGTGTGTACTTATTTCCACATAGTCCAAATGCTTGCTCAGGTTCTTGAGTGCTATCCTCACAATGGCAGTCAATACAATTATTAGTATCCACAGACATTTTGTTTTCAAAAGCACCATGAGGCACCTGAACAGTATCAGTCAGTAATGGACTTTCTTTGTCAGGAACATTGTTACTAGCATTACCTTGAACACAGCAGCTCTCTTTTATGGATGCAGTATTATGAACACTTGAAGACTCTTGATTGCTGAGCACCATTTTCTTTTTATTTAGCTTTAACCTAGACTGTTTTTTGCCTTGTTGTAGCTTATAAGTCACAGGACCTAGTTTTTGCGGCTGACTGAGACAATTAGAAAGGACAACACTAGGGAAAAACATGTAATGTGCTGTTTGTTGATTTACATTTGTTTTTTCACTCTTATGCTCCTGATATTCTTCATATCTAAGTTTAAGATGATTAAGGCCATCTACATCAGTGCTACTTTCAGAAGAATGAATGTTAGCTTGATTACTCTCGGAGCAAGACAAAGACTCACAGTTTTCTGGTGCTGGGAAAAGGTTATTTATACTTGTGCTACTGACTTTTTTATTTGCTTCAGAGGATGCTTTAATTTTTGAGTGACCCAGATCTGAAAAGTTAGAATTTTTAACCAGAATACTTTCACCAGTTTGGTGGTTCATATGCAGAGACACATCCTTTGCAGCCTTTCTGATTCCAGTGTACTTTCTGTTAGACAAATGTCTGTTTACTGAGGAAATGTCTTCATAAGCAGTTTCACACAAAACTGGGAGTATTTCACTTTTATTACTTTCCTTGGGTGAATTTTCAGAATGGAGGATATTGTTGAAGGATGTTGGATATTTTACACTGTAAGTGCTTTCTTTTATAAAAGAATGGACTGATAATTCTGGTCTTATGTCTGCTGTGTTTGGCTGAGAACGCCCTTCTAAGTCATCACTCAAAACATGAGAAGAAAGGGCACTTGTGTGTTTACACTGAAAGGTAATCTTAGCAGAAGATGGAGGCTCCAGAGTAGCAGCACCCTTGTGAAAAATTGAACTCTTTACAGACGCTTTGCTTGTTGCAATTGCAGAGGTGTGGGTTCGAGAACCTTCATTGTTCAAAGGATTGTCTAGAACAGAACATACAAGCAATTGTTAACAATTTTCTCTTTCAATTATATTCCTTCATATGTCAATTGTTTAAAGATGGGTTGGGTCAAATGATGGATAATTACTGGAGATCTAAGGAAATGTACAATTAAGGGTCATAAAGAAAACTACTCCTATGACAACTAATTTCCATTTTAAAGCTTTTCTCCAGTAACAGTATATGTCAACTCAATAGTTCAATGGGGTTTATTCCTAAGAAATGGTGTAGAGCATTGCACCACATGGTGCGAGAGTTTTAGGATAACAAATGATCATCCATAATCTTAGAATAATAGATAGAAAACCTGAACCAAAAAGAAAATCTTCCTACTTATCTATATCATATCATATACATTTATCCCTCTGTAAGTACCTGAAAGGATGTCACAAAGAGGAAGGTCAAGATCTCTTCTTGCTGACACCAGAGTGTAGGACACTGAATAATCAGTTCAAGTTGTACAACCCAGATTCAGGCTGGACATCAGGAAAAGCTTCCTCACTGTCAGAGCAATACAACAGTGGGACAAGCTGCCTAGAGAGGTGGTGGGCTCTCCCATACTAGAGACATTCAAAAAGAAAACCAGACAACCATCTCAGTGGGATGGTGTAACCTGGTGTCCTGCAATGGCAGGGGGTTGGACTCAATGGGCTGCATGGCCCCTTCCAACTCTACTATTCTATAATTCTATGGTCATTTAGGAAACCAGCTTTGCCAGTAAAGTTAATGATAACTGAAGAAGAAAGTGTGAGACATATTAAATAATGAAGTTTTACTATTCCTATTCATCATGAGAATTCTGTTTCAGTACATTCTGCTGCTGAAAATCAGAACAAAAATTCTATAAAGGGACCAACTGGGATATTTTAATACAGAGAGAAGAACAATACAGATCCATAGAAAAATGAGATCCCAAGCTATTTTAAGTCTACTCACCACTGTTTTCATCTGCAGTTCCATCTAACTGAGGTATAGATAGGTTTGCTAGAAGCAAATGGTTATCATTCCAATCCATATCATCTTCTGAAGAGCCATCATCTTCACTTGAGCTCTGATTCCTACTTCTGCCCACTGACCTAGAAGTGCAACTTATTTTATTTATTTTATTATTGATTATATTTAGGATAGACATCAGGAAAAGCTTCCTATGCCCCACCATTTTTCCTTTCAAGAAACTCAATGTGGCTTACATGAATTTCCTCCTCCTCTAAATCTTATCCTCACAATAATCCTGTGAGGTAGGTTGGCTTGAAAGTCTGTGACTGGTCTGTGAACCCAGATCTCTTGAGTCACTACAGCACACTGGCTATCTGAACAGTTTTGGCTAGCATCCTGATAGTTTAATGGTAATGGGTATGGGGTACTTTATTTAAGAAAGGACCAAAACTCTACAAAAAATGGGACATTTACTTCTTACACTAAGGATGTGGTCAGAATCAAGCACCTGAAAAAAAATAGGAAACATTATCTTGCTTTTATGTCTCTATTTTTCAAAGTGACAGGGTGCAAAAAAGTGATCATCAGAGTATTTCCGTCTCCTGAGAACAGGAGCTGTTTCACATAAATTATGGAAGATATGCCCAAAACTGACTATTTTCAAAGAACATTATATTGGAGTTGTTTATCTCATCGGAACATCTAGTTCAGCAGTGTCTACACTAACTGGCAGCAACAGAATATTTTCATTAGAAAACCAAAGATTGTCCTATATTCCACATAATTTTCACTCCTCATTCTCACATGTGGCATAACCTTTAAAGTATTATACATCTCCAAGAAGGACTGTAGGCAATACAACTTGAACTGTTGTTTCCCTGCCTGTTTGGTTGTGTTTGCTGACCTGGCAATGGTATTTTGAAAGCCATTACGAGAGGCTAAAATGAATCCAAAGCCACATAATGAGTTCATGGCACAGGCAAAATTTACATTTGGGCTCAAGTCCAATGCTTTCCTTCAAACTGCAGAAATTAGTGCCAAGTGGTCAAATTGTTAATTCACAATATGAAATACTCTGTATCAATTCCAAGGAAGACTTACTACTTTATTTCTGCAAGTTAAAGTGCAATAGGAGGGCAGAGAGGCCCTATCTCAGCTGTGGAGCTCATGCTTTGTATGCAAACAGTCTCAGATTAAGAAAGCCAAATTATATAACTTGGTATTTTGGTTATTCCTACCACAATGTTCAGCAATTATAGGCTCAGCTCACACATTGTTTCCCAATCTTCAAACAAGGGCTTGGAGATTAGAAGTTCTTGATTTATTACATTCAAGATTTATTACTTCTTCAAGAAGCTCTTGTACTCCTGCTGTCGTGTTCAGCGCACAACAATGTTGTGAAGTTAGAGAATGAGCGAGCCAGGAGGGGGAAGAGGTAAGCTCAAAGTCACCCAGTGAGCTCCATGGCTGAATACAGATCTGAGCTGGATCTTTCAAGTTTATACCACTATATACCCCAACTCTCATGTGCCACAGGTGTGCACACTTCCTTTCACGTATGCAGAGTTCTTCTCTCCTGTGTATAGTTTGCTGTAACATGGGAATCAGAACTGAACTATCAATTCCAGGCTTCTTTGATGAGACCAACTTGGTCACCCTGTATGATAACCTATAGTAGGAGACACAGAGGGAGTGCAACTCTGCTGATATTCCTGGACAGCTCATCTGCTTTTGATACCATCAACCATGAGATCCTCCTTGGGTGAGTCTCTGTGCTGGGAGTTGGGATGCACTGTGTTGCAATAGTTCTGCTTCTACTTGGATGGCAATCTCCAGAAGGTGGTATTTGGGGAATACTGTTCAGCTGCAAGGATTCTCCAGCATGCAGTCCCTCAGGGATCTGTTCTGTCCCCAGGGTGTTTAACATTTAAATGAAACTGCTGCACCAGGTCATCTGGAGTTTTGGAGTGTGTTGCCATCAGTATGCTATAGTTAGGTGGTTCCCTTGACTGTATGGAGGGTGTTCTAGATTGCACTCCCCCTGAAGGAGTAGGTTCGTAACTTGGGGATGCTCCCTGATCTACCTTTGTCACTTGAGGCTCAGGTGGTCTCAGTATCTTCTACCAGCTTAAGCTGGTGGCCCACTACACCACAATCTAGACAGGAATAGCCCGATTTCCATAATTTATGTTCTGGTAATTTTGCAATTAGATTATTACAATGCACTTTATGTGGGGCTGCCCTTGAAAGCAGTTCAGAAGCTGCAGTTCATGCAGAATGCGGCAGCAAGATTAATACCTGGGACCTGTAGGTCTGAACATTTAAGACCAGTTTTGACGCACTTACAATGGCTGCCTGTATGCTTCCAGTCCCAATTCAAGGTGCTGATTTTATCTTTTAAAGACTTACATGGCTTGGGGCTGCACTACCTGTTGGAGTACCTCTGCCAACTGTCATCTAGTCAGACACTACACTCAACTTCTGTGGTCTTCCTGCAAGTGTCAAACCTGCGGGAGGCTTGGTAGGTGGTGACAGTCTTCTCTGTGGTGGTCCCCCATCTTTGGAACAACCTCCTTGCTGAGACTTGCCATCTTTTCAGTTCCAGTTCAAGACAGTCCTTTATGCAGAGTCCTTTAAAAATTTGCTTGGTTACCAGGGGCCTGAGAGGATTATCCAGGTACTTTTTGTTTGCAAGGTCTTTTTACTGTGTGTTTTTTTTAGCTCTTTTAAAATAAGTTTAAATTTATTTTAACATTGTTTTGTTTTTATGGTATTTGTATGTTATTATGGTATCATGTTGTTTTGTCTTATGTACTGTTGTAAACTGCCCAGAGTGCTTTGGCTATGGGGCAATATGGAAATGAAATAAATAAAAACCATATTTAGATAAACAAGGGTTGCTTAAAAACATGGCTTGCAAGCAATATTTGAAGCTAGGGACTACAAACAATCCAATTAGAAAAATGCCTTTTATTAAGCAAAAGTATAACAAGCTATTTTATAAATGAAAGAGAAAGCAAGCACAGAGAAAACCCTGAATAACAGGTCTAAAATGAATTAATATAATGAAACCAGCATGGAATTCCTCAGGGGTTTGTTTCGTCTCCTGTGTTACTTAACATCTACCTGAAACAGCTATATGGGATCATTTGGAGTTGGTGACACACAGCATTATTTCTTCTTTTCATCTTCATTAGGTGAGGCTGTGAATGTGCTAAACCAGTGCCTGGCTGCAACAATGGACTGGATGAGGGCTAATAAAGTGAAGCTCAGTCCAGACAAACTGAGATGCTGTTAGTGGGCAGCTTTTGGACCAGATGGGGATTTTTCAACCTGTTCTGGATGGTTAAATGCCCTTTAAGGAGCATTTCAATAGTCAGCGCTCTTGCCATGTGAGACTTGGGTAGCCTTAGTGCCATGGAGAGGCTTCTGTCATAGCAGAGCTAACAGGGATAGTTGGTTTCAGTAATGTATACTCTGGTAATCTCCAGCTTAGGTTACACAATTGCATTTCCACATGGTACTGTTCAGAAGCTGTAGCATGGCAAATGCAGTGGCCAAATTAATAGCTAAGTACAGAATGTCTAAACAATTAGCACCAATTTTTCTGGCTCACTTTGTGCTGGTTCATTGTCTATAGGATTCTGAGTTGATTAAAAGTGCTGGTCTTACACAGCTTGGGACAATAGCTGCCACAGTGTCTCTCTCAACTTAAAATTTACCCACCTACCACAGTCAACTTCTTAGGGCTTCCCCTTAAAGCCCTCTCCAAAGGAGACACAGCTAATGGCAAACAGGAAGACAGCCTCCTCAGTAGTGTCTCTACAATTCTGGAATAAACTCCTCAGAAGTCAGCCTGGTTTCCACTGTGACACCTTTCTAGTGCCTTACTTTTTCAGTGCCTGACTTCAAGCAACCTGCTTGGGAAGTTTGGGCTAAAGTAAACTTTTTTGTTCCTACCACATTGTTGAGCAATATTTTTTGTAACTTACTCTAAGCTATCAATGAGTAAAGAAAAAGATTGCTATATGTGTATATTAAAAAAGTCACTTGGTGCTTGCCTTTTAACTGTTTAGATTTTGGGGCTTATTGCTCAGGACCATATTGCTTAGGGCAAAATATGCCTTAATAAAACAATAGGCTTTTGTAAAAACCAAATACAGAGTAGTAAATAACCTCTAATTAACATCTAATGGTTAATTAGTTGCATTTAATGGCATATGGCAGGCTTATTTCTGCAGGGGTCTACTTTACTGAATGTATGAAATGTGTTCAACTGTTCAAACAGTTTCTAATACCTATTTTTCATTTTTGTACTGAATGTCATGCTGTGTATTTACATTTGTACTATATGCTATTGTATTATACAAATTGCTGTTACTTTTTCTGAGTTCTTTGGCTCTTGAGCACAATATAAAATAACTATTGTGTAGAATATGTCCCTATAGAAATATAGGAAAAGAAGAATAATTCTAGAATGGCCTGTAGCACAAATGAGAAACATCTACTCTGTCATTTAAAATTGGATTAATTACTACTCATTGTGTTTTCTTAGCTGCCTGCTTGTAAAACCACTTGAGTTTGTATAATCAACCATATTTCCTGCCCTACCTCTTTTCATAATATACTATAAAACTCTGTAATTCCACAATCCAAATATACCTTCTCTTCACATTGTCATCATTAGGGCTGCTGTCCCATCGCTGGGACATTAGCAAGCTGAGCTCCATTTCTTCCTTTTCAATTTGTGGCTCATTTTCTTCATCATCACTGTTTTGTGGATTTCTACAGTTTCCAGATGAAAACTCTTGCAATAATGTATTCTGTCCTCCAATTTCATATTCATCATCCTCCAATCCAGCCAAGAGCTGTATCATGGCTTGATCAGTGCTATTATCCACTGCAGAAACAAATTCAGACATATCCTTTTAGCCTACAGCTAGCTTGCTTGCTTTTTAAGAAATCCATAACTATGTTTATCTTATGGACTCAAGAGATCATGTTCTTTTTCTTTAAAAGCCTATATAACTCAGATTTGCAGACCGAACACTTAAAAACAAAGCTAAATTTCACATGAACAAATCTTTAACATTGATGACTCTTTTATTCTTTCAAAATCTAAAAAAAATACTTTTAATATATAATTGAAATATTTTAATATGAAATAATTATACTTTCTTCTCAAGCTTTCACTAGAATGTGGGTCCACAGCATACTAGGAATCATAGACTCCTCTTTCAAAAGACAGTGACAGTCCAGAACTATTTGTAAATGACTGGACTAGAACACTTCTTCCAGAAATCTATTTTTGGAGGAAAGAAACTCAATTTAGCAAACAGCATGTGATATTAGTGATAAAATTTCAACGTACAGCAGAATAGCTTTTCTTACTGTAGAAAAGGACAACATATTTCTGGATCAGACTTACGGAACACTGGGGTATTATGTAATCTCTGAGGAGAAGGCTGAAAATGCTGACTATTTTCCATGATGTTCAAAATGGCTTCTTCATTAATAACTGCATTTTCTTCTTTATACTTGCTGCTGGACTCTAAAAATGAGGTTAAGAATCATGGACATGAGACATCTACAAGATTTTCCTTTACAGACATATTAGCCTGCTCAAATTACTTGAAGAGTGTTTTTGGAAGATATTGCTAGGGACACCTAAGGTAGGGGAATTTTGCAACTTCATACTGCTTGTGCTGTTCAAAAGGGACAGGTGTTGAACATTTCTGAAACATCAATATTTTCCATTTTGATCAAGGGAACCTCATGCCAGCTCTTTTTTCCTTTCTAAAAAGAGAATTATTATGCATAGCACATGATATACAAGTAACTTAAATATAACATTCAAATAGTGACATGGTAACTATATGGTAATAAAGTCGGCCAAAAGTAGGTATACAGTGAATTGAAAGAGTTCATCTCACAAGCATTATCAACATTGGTGCTAAATGGAATCCATGTCACAATGTAGGGGACAGGTTCCAGGAATGTTGCAACATTGATGGAGGACATTTCAAGCACCTAAGAGACTAAACATGATACGATCAGTACTGTATTCCTACTTTTGGCCCACTTTGTAGCAGCTTAATAAACACACTCTTAATACATGCTTTCTTATTCAGCTAGTAATTGATACATCTATATTTCTAACATGTAATCCATTTCCTATCTTCTTTACAGTTGCCCATCTTAAGTTTCTTTATATTAACTGTATTCCTAACACCATGTATAGGTATAAATATAGTTAAAATTGGATATACAGACATGAAAGCATAGTTACAGAAATTATTATAGTCAGAAGAGAGCCTGAAGTCCGATTTAAAGCAAACAAAAGTATATTTATGTTGCCATTAAAATGCTTTAACCTTTATTACATAATCACCAAGTAACTACTAACACATTTCATAAAACAATTATACATATACATTTATTTTCATATCAACTTGTGGCATTTTTAAATACACGGTATTTATTTATATCCAAGCCATATTTTCTTTACATAAAACTAAGCACAGGTAGCTTACTCATAACATGGAACATTCTAGAGCTAAACAGAGCTTTAGGCAGGAGCTATGCCCACATCCCCTGTGTATGTTTCATACATGGCTCCTGCTTGCCTGTCAATTCTGAAAGTGGAGGAAATAAAAAAGGGAGCCTTTGTTGTGCAGAGGGGGTGAGTTGTGTGAGTCCACAGGTGATCATATGAAGAATCACAGTTACAGGTAAACAACCTGAATTCCTCCATGGTTTTTGTAATTCACACAAAATGGGTGGCTGAAAAGCAGTAAAAGGAAGGAAATGTCATGCCAAGATAAAAGAAATGACTGCTCAGTCAAAAGTTGCATCAGTGTGAGCTGATATCCAGGTGGTGGTGCCTAATAAATGCAAATCTTCACATTAGAGTTGAGGAAGCTAGGTATATCTGGCAGAGAAAACTATGGCTCAGGCTGACTGACCCTATACTTGTATGAAAACTTGGAGGTTAGCAAATTGGTAAGTGTGGCATATGGTTGCTTCTACCCACCCGGGAAAGGCCTTTTGAAGTCATCAGTTGAACTTTCTTGGACCAAAGCAGCAAACAAAGAGATGTGTGGATTTTCTAATGAATGGGGGCTCTAGAGATTTAGAAGAATGCCCTTCAAACACCTAGAGAATGAAGCTTCATGTCCATTGGGGCGGTAGGCTGAGGAAGACAAGTAGTATAATGTCTGAGTCAAATGGCATTGAGAGACAACCTTCAGAAGGAAGGAATAGTCTTTTTGTAAGACTACTTTGTCCTTGGGAAAAAAGAGACAGTTAATTTTGAGCACAACACTCACCATGCATGCTGACCTAATGGCATCAAGGAAGACCAGTGCTATACTGAAGAACCTAAGGTAAGTTATGGCCAGAGGACTAAAGGCTCAGCAAAGCCTTTAAGGAACTGCTTGTCTGGAGGGTGGGAAAACCCTTCAATGTTATGATTAGCCAAGTTCAATGCTAGATAAACCCTGAGAGATGAGAGTGCTAACCCTTTCAAAGAAAGTCTAAGATGCCTGGTAGACTACAGGATATCAGGTCTTGTTAAACTGGTGCTAGACAGGTCTGAAAATTCTTTCACTTGGCAACATATAAAACCTGAACAGAATGTTTACACAACATTGCCCACATTTCTCAAACTTGGTTGGAGAATCTATAGGGTTGGTTGTGTGAGACTAGGGTTTTAGGTCTAGGTGTCTGATCCTTCCATTGTTTATCAAACAGAGATCTAGAAAGAGAGGAAGACAAAGGAAAATACAGCTGGATAAGATGAGGAGTGCTGCAAACCACATTTGTCCTGGTCAACTTGGGGTTATTGGAACGCAATGAATAAACCTTTGTAAACTGTCCCAAGATGTCTGTGATGGGACGACATAGAAAAGTTTTAAATAACTAAATGAGCTCCATTGCTCTATATTTTGGTTACAGCTTGTGTGATCAGAAGAAAGGGGCGGGGGGACATGTACATTAGGGCACCACCACACTACTGGAAGGAGGGGTTGTGACCAACTCTGCTGCAGAAAAGACAACACACAGAGTTGTGAACTCTGAACTCTAACTTCAGAGTTAGAGCTGTGGCAAAAAGGTTCATTGCAGGAATACCCCCCATTTGAACTGTCTGCATGCCTTTTGCTCCTAATCTTCTGAGCAAAGTTGGGAAGGCTGTCAGATGCTCCTATCAGGTTTATGACAAGTGGAGTAATGTGGGAGTGAACTCTCCCATCCCAGCTATTGAGGATGAGATAAAAGAAAATGATTTCATCCGATTTGGACAAAGTGCTCTGTGACAACAGATTCAGATGCCTGCGGGGCTCTGGCAACAGCAAGAAGTTCAAGTTGGCTGATATGTAGCACACACTCTCAAGGAGACCAGAGTGTTTTAATCCTGAGTGAGTTGCACTGATTTTTCCAACATGAAGGGATATGTTGGTAGTGACTATTACAATTAGATTAGGGGTGGTTCTGAAAGTTGAACCTGTACAGGGGTTATGTCAGAACCATTCTCACTGTTGAATGGGAGGTCTTCTACACTTGCTCCAGCATCTTGAGGATCTGCCATGGCCTTAGAACTACAGTGAGCAGTTGTCCATGTTGATTTGTTGGCCTGCCAGTCTATGGGCCTCTGGAGTATCACCTTTCCCATAACTATAAAACATATATGTCAGCCTATCAACAGTGGTTAACAGTGCGATAAATTCTATGAACTATCAAATATAATTTCCTTCTCTCTGAGTCTTTGGAGCAGAGTGAGCTTTTCATTCCTCAAGAACTGAAGAAAGGATCACATAAATAGTTGATAGTTTGCCTCTCTGAAATAGAGTGTTGCCATGCAGCAAACGCTGCAACCTACAGAGCCCAGTTTCTTTCCCTCAGGGTCCAGGGGGGCAGAAGTTGACAGAAACTGAGAAGGAGCCAGAGGAGGCTTCTTGTAGATGGAAGCAGAGGTTGTATACAGGGGCTGGTTCAATGTCTGCTGCCTTGGGGTGGGTGGGGGGGTTTGCTCCTACAGCAGGGCATAAAGATGTTATTCTATTATTTCCAACCTGCTTGGTGAAGGTCTGGCAGTATGTACCTTTTGAAGGCAGAAGAGGCAGTCAGCATGATATTTTCCTGCTACAATAGATTAAATTTTTGGAGGTCTTGAAGGCCATGCAACCCTGGGGAAAAGGAGGGAGGAAAAACTCAAGAAAGGAAAGCAGAATGAAAGAAAGAAGCTCTGTTTAACATCCCAGAAAGACAAAGATGTTTAAATGAAAGCCATAGAGAGCATTTTCCAAATGCTACTAGAGGCTGCAGCAGATAAAAAGGAACTGGGAGGCAAGCAGGAACCATGTCAAGAGTGTTTGCTGAAGAGGTGAGTTTAAGAGGTGCTTAAAGCTCTGCTTAGTTTAGAATATTCTGAATGATGCTCTGCACAGGCATGTGACCAATATATATGAGCCACTGGGAACATGAAGAACAAACATTAATCAATTCTCATGGAAAGATCCCATATCTGTCTTCATATCCCTTTACTCCATCATTTTTGCTCTCTTAATAAGTACTCTACTACTTCTTCATTTAGTAGCAAATAGTATTTTGACTGCTGTCAACAAATCCATACCATTTCATTGTGCTGTTTTTGAAACTACATCTTTAATATACTCTAATAACATTTCTGCTAGCAAAAGCAGGAGCGGAAAGACACATTTCCTCACCAATTCTCCTTCAATATATACAGAGCAAGTGGAACATGTGCTGTAATACTTTTCCAACTCCACATCTGTCCTCTTGTGTACTGACAAGCGTACAAAAGGAAGAAATCATTCCCTGCCTCCTCTTCTGACACTTACTTTTGTGCAGTTTGTTCACAAAAATACCTCTGACTAGATCTTTTTCATGTAAGAGAGGGGTATTCATTGTGAAATTGAATTGTACTAATACTAACCTTTGCTTGGTTCTTCATCTCTGTGCACTTCTATCATATTTGCTGGTGAACATGGAAACATGGGAAATTGTACCTCAGAATGTAGTGTCAATTCAGGAGAGAATTCCTGTGATCCATAGTCTGGTGATCCAGATAATGTCCTAGACAATAAAAAATAGCATTTAAAATGACAGTATAAGCCACAAATAAAGAAAATATTAATAGTCAGATGGATGCTTACAAAGGGAGACTGCTTTGCTTGAGGATTTCTTTAAGTCTCTTCTGAAAGAATTTTTCACTTTCTGTTGGGGTCACAAATCCACGATCTTATGAGGAAAAAGGTTATATAAGTAGTTTAATATAACAAGGACTGCTGAAAGAATTATAAATAAGGATGCAAACTTCTATTTCTAATTGCCCCACTCTTTATGGATTTTTAAAAATAAAAAATAATTCAGAGCAAGTGATATATGGCCTATGAATTTTGAGCAAGCCTGAAATAAAGGATTTTTGTCTTTTAACAGTTTATATACCACAAATATTTTATATATACACATAAAATAATTACAAGAATATAAAATATGATTGGATCATTCTTTCACTAGTTGAATTTCTCTTCAATTCACAGATGGGCTGTTTCCAAATCAGACAAATTTGAAAAATATTTAATGAATTTCATGTGGAAGCATTAAAAAAAAACAGGGCAAGACTCAAGGATCATAATCCAAGTAATAAATTACAATACAAAAGAAAATATTAATAGCAAGTAATTTAAAAGTAAATATAGGAGTATTGTGTTTATAAATATTGTTAGACTCAATTAATTATAAATATTTCAACTTGCATAAAAGCTATGGAGTTTCTAGGAGACCTCCTTGCATTAGACCAGAGTGATTTAGATCAAATAATAAATGAGTAGTCTCATTTCATAGCAAGTAAATTAGATATTACCTACTTAAGCAGTAGCTTACTGAAAGAATGCAGAGTTCAAGATCTCATCTTGACTAATTGTATTAAAATATATTTCTCTATTTGAATAATAATTATGAGATAATTTCTTGACTTCTGGTCAGAAAGATAAACTGAAAATCCGTCAAGCAATACTGACCCATGATACGTACCTCCCCAGAAAAAAATAAACATTATCAGCCTCTCTCTACCTTGTGAGTTTGGAGGACTAATCTGAGAAGACTCTTTATTCTCTCTACGTCGTTGTTTCTCATCATCCCAAATTGCTTGCAAACCTGGATTCCGACCAATCTGGGCTAGAAATGTAAAAGTAACAGATACAACATATTCAACAGGAGTATCAAGTTTACTAAAACCTAATGCAAGAGTTTTCACTCATGCAGCTCCTGCTGTTCACAAAAATTAACTTGTTTCCTTTAAGTAATGGCAAGTTACAAGCCAGCCATTCTTTAAAGAAAGAACATATAAAATGTTTACACATAATCTTATGCAAATCTAATTAAAAAATTGTTACTTCTACCTTTCATCATACTATTAGGAAATAAGAACTTTCAAATGGAATTTATTTATGTTTCTATTTTAATTTTTTATAAAACTTGGTTTTTCTAACATTTGGTTTCTCTCCATTGTACATATTATTTAATTGACTCTTCCTATTATAGCATTTTACTAATTATAGCTCATATATTTAAAATACTAAGGATAAACACTATGTACACAACTTATTTATGTCCTGAATGATTTACACACAGATTATTTGTTTACCTTCAATATCCAACCTATTTAAAATATCAGCAGCCACTGCATCCACTTCTAGTTCACAGGTGCTCTGTGGTTCAATGCCCTCCAGTGTTAAAGAGCTGAAATGACATTAATGTTAAAGAAAGATTAAAATATATTTCTTAATAAAATTATATTATCTTAAATTCAACAAATAGGAATGAATATCATTAGTCAAAAATGTTATATCAGTATACATTTTCAGTACTCAAATCATACCAGGTCCATAGTAGTTTAGGTCATCGTTAAAACATAGGCAAAAGTTGCTTAGTTATGTGCCCTGAGAGTTGAAATATTTGCAAGTTATTCTCTATCCAGTGACACTAAATTAGAAAGGCTCCCAATCTCACAAAGCAGCAGCAACCAGAGGATAGGGTGAATTAAGAAGTCAGACTGGGATTTTATCACATGGTGTAAGCAGAACTGAGTTAACTTATGGGAATCCAAAGACAAGCTTTCATAAGGCATTTGGCAATGTACTAGAAAGGAGAAGCTTATTTAGATATTTACAATGATACAAAGAAAACAGGCAACCATATAAGCATCTGGGAGAAATATGCATAATTTATGTTACGTGTTACAGAGTTTCAAAGTAATATATAAAATGTTCTATCAACTAAGCAATACTTCAATAAATCCCCTTCAATATAATATGCTCACTAACCATCTCGTAACAACAGCCAATGCGTTGGGCACTAATCCATCAGCAAGTAATCTTTATCATTTCCCATAACAACAACATAGAACAAACTTCCACAATATACAATAGACTTTAAAAATAAAGTGTAACCTTCAATTTCATTCTCACTGATTAATTGTTCAGCTTTTACTAATTAGTTGAATTAAAAGCTTTAGTTGGTTAAGTTACTAATTAGAGCTTGCAACCTTATTTAATAGCAATACTGAAGTAATACACACAGCGGACTGGAACCAAGCTAAGTTAATCAGTTGGGCTTTACTTATGACTAACCCTCACTGGTGATTTCAGTGGAAATTCAACTTAGTCTCAATCCAAACTCACTTAATTTTAGATATATAAATTTTCCACTTTGAATAATTATTTTTACAAAAATAGATCTGGTTATATATACTAACCTTGGTATCTGATTATCTCCCCATCGAAAAAAGGTGCTGGTAGCAGAAAGTCTTGAAAAATCATCTTTATAACATCCAATTTCTTCAAACAGCTCACCTACAAACAGAACAGACAAAACTTTCCAGAATTGAGAATTCTGTCAATCCCTATTACCCACTTAAATTTGAATTTTTTTTATCTTGAACAGTTAACAGAATTCATTGCCTTGGAAATGGCAACCCAATGGCTTTATCCCTTCTCGCTATCATAGAAAGACATTTCCAAGTAAGCACACAAAACATTTAAATGATTAAGAGACCTAAGCTGATAGAAGTTGCTCTGTACTACCAACTCCACCTGTACCTGTAGTGGAAATATTAGATCCAAGAGTACCCCCAAGAGTATCCGTTCTACATATTACAAAAATAACTCAAATCCAATCCATACTGTTAGAACAGAGAATGTTCTTGACTCTTCTTTTGCACTTATGTTCTTAACTGTTCTTTTGCATTCATTCCTATATTCAAGAGCAGCACACTTAGACCACATCCAAGGACCAAAGGACCAAGTGCCACCAGGAAGCTATACCTCCTCACCTTCCAGGAAAAGTACCACTGCAAGGGGGAGACCAGTCTGCTCCCATACATTGACCAGAGAAGGAACAACTACAGAGAACTTGTTTCACTCTTCCTGGCCAGAAAGAACACCTAAAAAGAACTAATGCTCAAGGTCCCTCTAGCAATTCCATTACTTAAGTATTGTGGCTTTTAGATTTCAAGCTTTAAAAGAGTCCCTTGAAGAAGCTAACCCTAGTTCCACAAGATTTAACAGCTGCAGGTCAGTTGTTAACATACCTTTCCTGGGTGCAATGCTTGAGACAGTGGCTGCTGGTCACCACTTCTGAATTTCAAACGGAGTTTCAGTACTGTTTAGAATGAGAACTACACTGATGACATCCTGTGGGATGACATTTGCTAACAGAGGGACAAGGAGAGTGCAACCTTGTTGATCCTCTTGGACCCATGGCTTTCAATACCATCAGCTATGATATCCCTCTGGACAGGCTGCACTATCTGAAATAATGCACTGTTCTGCTTCTATCTGGATAGTCAATACCAAAATGTGATACTAGAGATTTATTGCTCTGTCCCTTGGAAGTTATATTCTGAGGTATCACAGAGTTCTATCTTATGTCTCATGCTGTTTGACATCAGCTGGGGGGGTGTTATCTGGAGATATGGATTGAAATATTGCCAATATGTAATGACATCCAGTTATCTCTCTTTCTCATTACATCCAGGTGAGGCAGTGGGAGTTTTCAATCAGTGCCTGACTGCAGTTACAGACTGGATGAGGGCCAATATTGGGTGCTTTGCCTAGCTAAGTGGAGTTCAACCTGTTCTTGAGGGGGCTGTTCTCCCACTAAACCAGTTTGCCGAGTGTTCTTAGAGCCAGCAGTGCCACTGGAGACATTGGTGGCCTTGGACTAGGTAGCAAGGATTGCAAACTTTTAAAGCCTACAAACTTGGAGCCAGGTTACCTGAAACATCATCTCTTCCCATATATACCTGACCCGATTCAAAAATTATCTTCATGGGACCTTCTCCATGTGTTCCCACCAAATGAAATTATGGTCTTTTTGATGGTGACACTCTGGTAGTGAAATGCCCTTGCACTTGCATTGTGGTCTTTTTGGTGGTCTTTTTGTTTTCCTAGTCTTTTTAACCATTCATATTTGTTTTTAAATGTGCTACTAAGTTTTTAGTTCTTTCCTTTCTGCACTAGTTTACAACTAAGATAAACCATGCTAGATCATACTGATGGTCCATTCACAGGGTGGCAAAACTGCTGTCCACAGGATCCCTCAAAAGCAGGATGAGTTAACACTTCCCTCCTGCAAACTGCCTGCATACCACCTCTAGAACCACATGTTTGCTCATAGCCATCAAAACCAGTATCCATTGATAGCCTTTTCCTCCATTAATTTATCCAGGTGCCTTTCAAAGCTGTCCAAATTGGTGGCCACCACGAATTCTTGCAGCAATGAATTCCACAATTTAACTATGCACTGTGTGAAGTACAACAAGATGCCCGTATCTTCAGGAATAAGTTCCAAGCCCCCCAGCGGATGCCTGAAACCATAGATAGTAGCAAACCATGGATAGCAGCAAAATTCTAGAGCAAATGATAAAACAGGCAGTCTGCAGACACCTTGAAGACAATGCAGTAAGTACTAGAAACCAACATGGATTTCTCAAGAACAAATCCTGCAAGACTAATCTAATATCATTTTTTGATTGGGTAACCTCCCAAATGAACTGGACATAATGCTGTGGACATAATCTAGCTACGCTTTGACAAAGTGTCCCATTGATATCCTGATTACCAAACTTGTAAGAAGTGAGCTAGATAGGTAGTGCAAGTATTAGGTGGATCCACAATTGGCTGCAAACTCAAACTCAAAGAACATTCATCAACGGCACATTCTTAAACTGGGGAGAAGTGACAATTGGGATGCTGTAGGGTTCTGTCCTTGGACTAGTACTCGTCAACATTTTTATTAATGATTTAGATTAAGAAGTACAGGGAAAGATAATTAAATTTGCCGATAACACAAAGCTGGGTGGAATAGCAAATACCCTGAAAGACAGAGGTAAGATACAATTGATCTCAATAGGTTAGAATGCTGGGCAGAGAGCAATCAAATGAAATTCAATAGGGACAAATGCCAAGTCCGACACTTAGGTACAAGAAACCAAATGCACCACTACAAGTTGGGGAACATTTGGCTCAACAATTCTGCAAATGAGAAGGATCTTGGGGTTGTTGTAGATCACCAACTAAATATGGGCGAACAATGTGATGCAGCTGCAAAACACCACATTAGGCTGCATTATCAGAAGCATCACTTCCAAAGCATGTGAAGTACCAATTCCATTATACTCAGTGCTAGTCAGACTTCACCTGGAGTACTGTCTCCAGTTCTGGGCACCTAAGTTGTAAAAAGACATAGAAAAGTGAGAAGGGCTACAGAGGAGGGCAACAAGGATGATTCAGTGACTGGAGGCAAAATCCTATGAGGAAAGATTGAGAGAACTAGGCATGTTCAGCCTCAAGAAGAGAAGACTGAGGGGGATAGCACTCTACAAGAACCTGAAAGGCTGAAGGCTGTCACAAAGAAGAACATGAGCTCTTCTCATTCGTTCCAGAGTACAGGGCACAGGACAACAAACTTAAGTTAAAGAAGCCAGATTTAGACTCGACATCAGGAAGAATTTCCTCACTGTCAGAGCAGTATAACAATGGAACCTACTACCTGGGGAAGTTGTTGGCTCTCCTCACTGGAGACATTCAAAAAGCATCTAGACAGTAATCTGAATGGGATAGTGTAACTTAGTATCCTGCAACAGCAGGAGGTTGGACCCAATGGCCTTCTGGCCCCTTCCAACTCTACTATTCAATATAACTGTTGCCCACAGTAGTTTTGCAGAGGTGCCTGCAACTTTTTAGGTTATGCCTTCTTTGAAATACAGAGCAACACCTCCTCCAATATATCCCTCTCTGGTCTTCTAATAGAGTTTATGTCCAGCAGTGACCATTTATTTTGTCAGAATCTTTTAAAAGTTTTATATTATGTCTGAACATTTTTGTATTTTGGGCCTTTAATTTTTGTTAACTGCTCAGAGAGTTTAGACTATTGGGCAGTACATAAATATAATAAATAACAATTAATACATGATTAATATTTCCAAGGTACTTTGGGATCCTTTTTCAGTTAAACAAGGTAAACATGCTTTAAATAAACAAATTCTACTCATGCACATCATATAGCACAAATGAACAGTGAAGGATAAGAGAGAATACAAAACAACTATTACAAGGCAGAATGAATTATTCACCTTGTTTTACACCAATGCCTATTTTAGAGCTTTCCCTAAAATGGCACAATTTTTATCAGTTGAAAATTTACATACCTTTTTTCTTTGCTGTTCTAAACTTGACGGCAGCCAGGTTTATTAAATTCATTCCATATAGGTTGTAATCTATGAAGAGCTGGAGGAGGTAGGGAATATGAGCTTCATGAGGTTGGTAAATTTTATTCATTATGGCTCCACCTTGTAGAAGCTCACACACTCTATATGAGAAAGATGTCAGAGATAGAAAACATTACAATATTAATATTTCAGTGTTATAATTAATTATGGAATCATCATTGACCTATAACTCAGAATTACCACAAAGATGCTTTCTGGTACATACACTCAGAATTATAGCCAAACAGTCCAAATTATATGCACTAAAACTATGATCCAAAAGAGCTCACTTCCATGCATGTAATGTATGGCTTGGATAATTGTTCAAGTAAGTTGTTTGCACCTGTTTAAACAAAGGGAACCGTTCATACACTGGAGAGCCAGTGTGGTGGTTAAAGTTTTGAACTGGGGACCAGGGAGATTTGGGTTCTAGTCCTCATTCAGCACCAGGTGACTTTGGTCTGGTCACAGGCTCTAAGCCCAACCTACTTCACAGGGTTGCTGGTGTATGAGGATAAAAATGGAACTATGTAAGTTGCCTTGGACTCCTCATAAGAGGAAAAAGGCATAATATAAATGCAATCTAATAGTAGTAGTGATGATGATGATGATGATGATGATACAAAATCTCAGATTCAAAACCACAACAGAAAGGAATATAAGGATCTAAATGGATTTTCCTGAAAACTATAAAAGCACCAAGTGAAAAACAGGTCAGATTCTCAAGTGCTATCTCTAGTTTGCAAATGTCATCAATTACTGCAATGCAATACAGTAATTTAATTTTCCATTAATAATGACAGTTTCCAGAGAGATTGTCTGTAACTTATAAAAAAGTGCAGAATCAAAACTTTTATCAGATGGTCTGTTCTTTAAAAAAAAAAAATCTGACAGAGCCGGTCAGGTTTGGCACTTTCTGCAAACACAATTCTCACAATTAATAGTGTTCTACTCTGTACTATCTTCCTTTGCCTTTACAATCCCCCTTTATACAAGCTATTCCTTAATCTTAATGGTCACAGTGACCCACAATTTTGTTGATATTCTATGCTACATATGATATGATGATGTCCAGAAATACTTAAATCTGATCTGCTGACACTGCTACTAATTTGGCTGTGGAAAACCAAAGTGCAAAAAAGATGTAAAATGGTTCTGAAAAGCAAAATCAGTTGGAAGAATAAAAAGGTGCCAAGCAACACTGCAACAATAGAAGCATTTGGTAAAGTATTTTTGTTATCTGTTCAGCTTCATAAAATGTGCTACTTTTGAAGCAAATACTGAAATTTGAGAACAGTTAGCATAGCTTTATGCCTAAACAAATACCTATGGATGTGCACTTGTATTCCATAACCCTGTGCACATTTTCATCCGTCTATTTAGGGGAAAATAGCAACTGAGTTTCTCCACAAAATCTAGCAAACATCATTCTTACTTCCCAATAGCTTAAAAGCTGCTAGCTCTCAAAACCTTGCACTTCTAAAAGGCTTATCAATTTTTAATCCACATTTATTTTCCTAAAGCTGAATCAGTTCAGTTTATTTGCCTGCGTCAGTTGCTTTTTGTAACAAAAAATCATGACTTATCTTTATTGGAATGAGCTGCAGTGATTTTTGGAAACATGTGCTTTTTGACTTCTGTTGTGGTCACAAGGAGATTGAAAGCTTTTCTTTCCAATTTGATTAACCACATTTTAGCACTGCATCCAAGGCTGAAAGTGTGGTTCATCTTGCTCTTAGCTTCAATTTGTTAAGTAAGTCATTTCATAGACATGGTTTGTATTTGGCTTATTTCAGTAAACCATGGTAAAGGTTAGCCAGAAGTTGCCAGGATTTGAGAATAATTACAACCTAAAGTTAAGCAAAAATAGGAGCAAAAGCTTCCAATTTTATGTTTGCATCTGAATGAGAAAAGAGGGTACGTGAGCTCAAGCTTCATTGCAGCTTGTTTCATGACAATAAATCATGGTCTGCTTTCACTATAAAATATACTACTATTCCATCTAGAGAAAAAGCCAACATGTTTCTTAAGCACTTTGTTTACATTTATATTTTATCCCTGGTCCAACAGAAAGATGAACAAGTGGGTCCCAGATCAAATCAAGCCAGAACTGTCCCTGGAAGTAAAAATGACAAAATTGCAGCAGTCATACTTTGGGTGCCTTATAGGAAGGTGAGTGTCACTGGAGAAGACAATAATGCCAGGGAAAGTTGAAGGCAGACTAAGAAGAGGAACACTACATATGAAATGGGTCAATTCCATAAAGGAAACCACAGCCTTGCATTTACAAGAGCTTAGCAAGGGTGTGAAGGTCAGGGAATTCTGGAGGCCTTTCATTCGTGGGGTTGCCATAAGACAGAGATGACTTGACAGCACATATCAACAACAGCTCAAGATCGAATATGCATTTTAGAAAACATATAAACAAAAGCAGATACAAGAAATATGCATAGGAACAAAAATGCAATAGCAGAGTAAGTTATCCAGAGACTTCTGCCAGGATCTTCTTTCCTCATTTTTAAGCAAAGCCTCTGGTACAGCACATTACCCTAGCATACTTTAATTAAATATTAAAGGACAACTTGTTCTTTTCTCATTCACTAATAGTAAGCACATCAGACTTTTGATACATTGTTACCTTTTCACCATAGCAGGATTGTATAGATAGATCTTCATAAATTGCCTTTCCTTTTCATGGTAACCATAGAAAGGCCTGGAATACAAAAATCCAGCACAATGTTATATCATTATTTGTCCTGATGTAGGCCCAAATAGGCACACCAAGCCAATGATCTCTAACATAAATGAGATCAAGTGGGATACTGTCCTCTAGATCTTATAACAGGATCAAGATTTAGACCATGCTTGTGCATTGTAATTTCAGTTATTTCCTAGTCCAATATCAGCAGCACATAATGAAAGAGAAATTACCAACAAAGAGTTAAGTAGTGAAGAAACCAAAATGAATTACAGAAAACAGGTTATATGCTTTTCCTTCTCTCAATCTCAGTAGACAAACCTCACCAAAAAACTAAACCATTTTCACCAAAAAAGCATAAAATGTTAAAAAGCAAGGTAAAAACCTAGTGAGAAAGTTCACGTATAAATACTCTACCCAAATGTGCTTCTGAGGACACTATGGAGCTTAAGTGTCTAGAACTTCTTGGCTGCATAGTCCACAACACTGCAGAGCATGTAACTAGCAACCATAATTTTTTATTTGGATGGCAGCCAAAGATAGTGGATCCCTTGGTTATAAATTAATCCATACACATACTATGGGGAGTCTTAAGTCCCCACAGCCAACCACATGCAATTAAAAACTCAAAACAAAAACAAAAAAAGGACAAATATAGCACTCAGCTATTATTACAGTAACACAATTGGTATATACAATACGTGAGCATGGCTGTGCTAATTTGTATAACATCTGGAACAATCAGTAGCCTGAAGCTTCTGCATACATTTAACTTGTTTTATGTCTACAAATGGATTGCCATTTAAAATTTTTATTTCATAGACATGTAAAATTTAAGAATATACAACCAAATTGTTCTATCAAAATACTCACAATGTTTCCATATCTCAAAAGTGAATGTGCCCTTCATGCTACCTGTGTATATGCACTCATATATAGGCTATGAAACTTCTAATAAATGCACACCCAGCTACTAAGGAGATGGCAAGTGTTCTTTCCACCACTCATCCGCATCATTCAGGCAGAAGATGAAAAGCTGGGCCATCATGCCACCAGAGTTTTAACACCACCAGTAATCACTAAGCAAAGTCACATGACATACCTTCCCATATCATCTCAGTTAACAGAAATTACCATCTAGATTCCCATATCTGATCCTCCAATGGAATTTAAAGGGTAAGTATGCTGAAGACAAGGAATGTGGTACAAGATGAAATGATTTGTGGAAGGCTTAGGGGGGGTTGCTCTGTATGTGGAAACACTTTTCAAAATATTTAAATTTTTAAAAATTACCTAACAGTGCTTAAAAACTTGAGAACCTTATAATTTTCTTGCAGTTTTGTCAATAGCAAAAAATCATGCTATAGTAAAATATATAATAAAACCATACTTACATTCCATAGACTAGTGACACTTTGAATACATGCTGAAGGGAAGAAGATGAATTTCCTAAAGCAACATTGAGTGCTCGGTCAATGCTGAATGCTAAATGATGCAGATAATGTTCTGGCAGCTGTCCACAGCCATCATATGGCACATACAGGTAAGGAAAAATACCATGTAAATGGAGACAGGTCTTCTGACCTAGAGAAATAACAGAATGAAGACCCATCTTTCAAAATCATAAATCTGGAAGAGTCTAGAAATCCACCAATTCCAAATTCCTTGCCAAAAATAACATTTCATATGATTAACTTTTAACATGGATCATAGAATTCTACTCCATACCTGAATTCAGAGAGATCTGGAAATTATGGATATTATCTAGTCCTGCCTGTCTGCATGACGTCTTCATCGCTGCTTCCATTCCATACATGACCAGCCCTGCCAATTCTGTTGGGCAACAGCAAATAAGCACTTCTTAGAGCAAGCCTCTAAATAAGCAGAAGTACTTGTTTCTGTAAGGCAGCATGCTGTGACTCCCTTATGCAAGCTCTGCCAACCTTCCAAAAAAGAGAATTTCTGCTTGTTTTGGGTTGCCCATGGAAGTGCTAATTTGCTATTGAACATTGGAGGGCTTTGTACAACAGAAGTGGTAGGGCATAGCACACACCTGGTCATTGTTGGTTATTATCCGTTGCTTTACGTGTGTACATAAGGTGTAAAACATTTGAATATCCAAATAGGTCACATAACAAATTAGTTTCTTGAAACTATAACTTATGAAACACACAAAAGTTTATTTTTGTACATTACAATGTTTTGAAAGAAAACCATTTTTAAAATCCCCCTTGCATAAACTGCCCAAAGAGTTTTGCTTATCAGATGTTACAGATGAATACATAAGTAAATCATTTTAACTTACTTAGTATAGCAGCTAGCCTGGACTACCACCAGGGCCAGCTGCCCAACAGTGGAGAAACTGACACTTGGTCAGTGCCCACTATGGAAAATGAGCCCTTTAGTGCTTGCTGCAGTTTTTGTTCCCACATTTACCCGTTTTTTCCCTAGATATAAACAGAAATGAGGAGCACAGCAGAGATAGCATACTCACTCACTCCTGCTCAGCAACCCCTGCATTGTTTTTACATGTTTTTACAAACTGGGTCAGTGTGTGTATAAGATAAATATATTCTTCTTAGGTATAACCACCTGGGAAAAAAAATAATTACAACTTTGAAATTGCCCAGATTAACTAGCATTGTATCCAAGCATTATATTATTAGTTTTATAAAATGCTTCACTTTGAATTGGAAAAAATATAATGTAGTAGAATATTTCTACCAGATATTATAATTAATGCTTTTAGCATTTTGTTGTTCTTTTAAAATTTTGTCCATAGACTGTCTGCCATTGGGTGGATTGAAAATACAATTATCAAACCTGTTGAACTCATTTTAAGACCTGTTGCACTGACACTAGCAAGGGCAAGACTGGGCTTGGTAGGAGTAGATGTAGTTCCTTCCCTGTCAGAGATCAAATTGACTGGACCATGGCTGAAGCCCTGGTGTAGAAGCTCTCCTGAAGGTTCTGGAATGCCCTTTTGAGACATAGGAGAAATTTGTAATGTGTGCATTTATATTGGGTAGCTAGAGCTTAAAAATGCTGAAGATCTGTGAAATGTCAAATCAGGACAGGACATGTACATGAGTCTTTCACTACATTTTAATTCTGCTAGCCAATATCTTCTTCTTCAGATGCGACTACTGACCAATTAGGCCACGACGCAAACTAGAAAAACATACTTAGAAGATGAGTTTGCAGAAAACTTCCTGGTACTATCTAATTACGTGTGTGTGTGTGTGTGTGTGTGTGTGTGTGTGTGTGTGTGAGAGAGAGAGAGAGAGAGAGAGAGAGAGAGAGAGAGAGAGAGAGAGAGAGAGAGAGAAAGAGAAAGAGAAAGAGAAAGAGAAAGAGAAAGAGAAAGAGAAAGAGAAAGAGAAAGAGAGCAAGCAGGAGCACACAGTATCACCACTACTCCAGGTCAGTTTCTTTTAAAGAAACCCTGCTTTTTATACATATGAGAGACATAATGTTGTACCTGATTACTGAAAGTGTAATACTTCTTGCCCTTTAAGGGGTTTCAAAATAACTGGAAGAGATCAACAATGTGTTGAAATAATTTGTTTAACACCATGGAAACAATACAGAATTGATAAGCAAGGGTGTGTGTGTGCATGCATCTGAGAACTAAGTCTTAGTTTAGCTTAAGAAGAAAAAAGTCCCTGGGGCTTTAACTTTCAACTACATACTGTACACCATTTAGCTGTTTTCAGAAACAATTCAACGCACAATATTAGATGATCACTTGTAGATGATCACTTGTAGGACAAAGCATCACAGTCTCTCTTCACTACCAGCAGCAATGCTCACATTTTACATGAGATTCATATAAATTGGTTGGAGAGATAATTCATGACTGTCTCTGAAACAAATATTTACAAATAATGACAACACACATTCTTTCACAGAAAAATAATATTTTCTTTATTTGGCAACATTAAATGAAATCTTTATACTCATACATAAACCTTAAGCAAATGAAATGTCCTACATATCTAACATGCTTGGCATTAATGCTGTCATTATAGATAATTTTAATTGCAGTCTCTGGATGAATTTAGAGCTAGAAATATGAAAAGAAAGGTGACTGGGCATATGTGTAATATACCTGTATCTCTACTTCTTGCTACCTGGTTCTTGAAAAATTCAAAATTGCTTTCAGACTGAAATAAGAAAAATACAAATCTTTATATTTTGTACATCATACTGTGCTCTCAAACTTCAAATAGTTTCCAACTTAACTGAGTCACCAATTTTATTTAGCCTTTCTTTTAATACTAGGGAAATAAAGGGTGCAATTCTATGCATGGTTAGTCAGAAAAAACCTACAACTTCCAGTAGTTCCCTGCTAGCAAAGCTATCAATACATAAGTGGAATTTCACCTTAGATCTACTAAGATTTACACATTAAGACATATTGGGTACAACAACACTGACCCAAATTCATAAGATTTTAGAAAATGTTTCTGTTCCTGCTGCTGCTTAATATCAAGGGATCAATTCTTTTGAACAAACAATAATTACAGAAGTACTCCCAGAAGGAAAAAAAAGTCCTAGGTAAGCACTAACAGTTTTTATTTTTCCCTAAGCTACAACCCAGAGAAGATATTCACACAGTTATAAACTATTAGTGTACCTGAGTATTTGTTAAATTTTTGCTTTATCAGCTTCCATAAACAATGAGGTAAATCAAAATTCAGTTAAAAAGCTATGAGGAAAATATTTCAGAAAAAAAAGTCTTAACCATGGCATCATCGACCAGTTCATGTGTCACAGATAACCAAGAATTCCACTGGCTCCCACTGAGCTAAACAACCTATTCCATCCCAAGACTGTACTTCATGATATCTAAGCCTGAAATTATAGGATGTTGAGTTCTAACTCTAATGAGTTGTCTCTTCCTCAACAACTCATAATCCTTAGATTGTTCAGGTCTGCCAGTTGCAGCAAGTGTGACTGATAAGCAAGACCTATCGGATTTGCTCACTCCCGCTTCCTATACAACAATCCAAGATTTAAACAGGCCTTTGAAAATATATGAACTGTTCATTAACCTCACAATCTTACTTTGGGTAACTCATTCTCTCAGCCTGACATGCTTCAACTGGCTAGTGTGTGTGTGTGTGTGTGTGTGTGTGTGTGTGTGTGTGTGTGAGAGAGAGAGAGAGAGAGAGAGAGAGAGAGAGAGAGAGAGAGAGAGAGGGGGAGAGAGAATGCACTCTGGGGTGTTGGCTGTTGGCAACACAACCCACAGTGCTCCCAACAGATAATAGTGTTCACCATAGGTTGCTGGCCCCCCTCCTCCCCCATTCTCCTTTGGTTCTCCCATGGGTATCCAAGAGAAAAATGTAAGAGGATCAATTTTTCTCTCCTATCTTGCCACAACTGCAAAACAATTTCAGCTTGTCACAGTCTTTTTACAATTTAAACCTGCCTTTTCAACTGTTTTTTTATGATCCTCATTTTGACAGCCACTGACAGCCCATATAAAACACCCAAGCGGCACCTTAAAAGAGCTATTGGAACCTATTTTTTATTTTCTTTTTGTATTTTTTCTATAATCTTGTAAAACAAAATTAAAAAGTTATGTATCTGCAGGAAACTGAAAGTACAGCTGGGGCAAGATCCTTTGCAACAGAGGCTCTAAATAGCCCTCTTCCAACAGTTTCTATTGACAGCTGTCAAAAAACAAGCTCAAGAGAAACCAAAGGCATGAGTGATCCTTGTTCATGAAAAGAGGGTGGTATGATTTATCCTCATTCACAGCAAGATATTGCACTTTTCTGGCCTAAGAGTTTACAGGCTGGTGCAAGTTTTGCACTTTTTGCAGAAACTCTTGGTGCTCAAGAAAGTACAAAACTGATTCTCCCTTTGAAAATAAAGGGGAAATTAAAGGGGTGGCCCCAAAGCTCTCTCTTCCACATGACCATTGTGGAAGCTCAGGTGATATTGTATTATCTATACTTAGGAAAGTGAAGGCAGCCTGGGGATACATGAGTACCCTCTTTCTGAGGATTTTGCTGGGCAACAACCCCACTTAAAAAAAAAACTTGGAAAAGGTGGTTTGCAAAGTGCTACAGTGCTGATTTTTGGGCTTTACACTTACTGGGAGGCACACTGATACACAAAAGCTAAAGCTATAACATCTAAAAATAGGATAAAAACAAGGGCAGAGGATTAAAAAAATAACAGCATCAGAGGTTTAATACACTCCTACATTTTTAAACTCTAAAAAATGTCACAAAAGCTATAATAACTAAAAGAATTGAAGAGTAACAATTAAACATTAAAAAGTGTTAGGAAATAAGCTATCTACCAGGCCTTGAAAAGACCAGAGCATAGGTGACAGGTGAGCAGAGGCTTTGTATCCCTCTGCCTAGTAACCACAGCACTTTGCTACCAAATTACTGGTAATAAAATGGAACACAGAAAATATAGAATATAACAATAGTTATGGAGCATTTGAGTGCTTTCGCTTATTTATATCTACAGAGTTTAGAAAAGATGAAACACAGAGATTTTTCCATTACTAGTCAGGAAAGAAACTGTTTTACTTTTTTATAAAGACAGGATACAAGAAT